CAAGATACATTTGGGTGGAGATTAACTTCTTAAGATATAATTGCCTAGATTAATTAACTTGTCAGGACAATTTGTGTGATCTTTTTCTAATGAAGTTCAAATTTATTACCCACAAGTTTCAGCTGGTTTTCTAAGAAGTCTTCTTCGAAACTAGTCTGGTAGGTTTATTTTTGACTACTATTCTAGTTTCCCGTAATATTTTCTGGCTTTTATTTTGTACTACGGCGATTCATTTTCTTTTCTGGATTAAATTGTCTTAAGTATCCCGTTTATTATGAAATCCTACTGGCAGTTTCCTAACGTCAGTGAGCCACTGTAATAAGTCACAGAATAATTATTTTATCCACTTTGACTAAATTGTATCAATTATGTGTCAGTAAATATGTTTTATTCATGTGGTAAGGAGAACTATTAAGCCATTTTATTTTGTATAGAAATTAAAAGTGATAACTTGAGTTGTAAACATTTTCTCTTCTGACTTTATTTGTGCAGATGTTTGATAAAGCGTGAATTTTTGCATCCATACTATATTTTTAAGGTGGTTTTTTATATAAATCAAATGAAACGGGTATGATTAGGAAGCAGAATAAGGCATTTAAATAACAAGTGATTCATAAGCATACTTCTAACCCCTTTCACTCTATAAAGCTGTTGCCCATTATAGGTATTCATTTTGGATCTTTTCAACTTCCGGATATCAGTAAACTATTTTCACATCCGCATTCCAGCGATTATGTCCATGTTTTACTAGTATGTTCTTGTGCTGTGTCATGACTCTGGGCTGTTAAAAATAATCTTGATCTCTTCCTTAATCTATCAAGTTGACATTCAGGTCAAAGATATTTCGATGTTCATTTTTTATTATGAGGTATTTATTTGATCTAAATGAAATTATAACGTCCGACAGAAACAGTAAATGTATGGAGAACTAGATAGTTGTGTCGTCCTGCTTTGAAAATTGTCTCTGTTATGTTACTTCAGTAACATGAACGTAATTTCTGCGATACTACAAAACTACGCATTGTAGGAATGGAGTGAGTGATTTCACACCGTATTGAAGATCTAACTACAATGAAAGTAAGGGGATGCTTCTGTGAATTGGCGTACTCAGTTTACCATCCACTGTGAATTTTATATTTGAAAGCAATTTGTTTAGAATTTTATAGATGAGTGAGTGGTGTGCTATACTTCTCACAGTGTACAATGATCAAGAAAAGAGACCTTATCAAGGGCACTTTACGTGAATGAACCAGAGCTAAAAAGAAAAGAAAATGAAGATGATAATATAATACCTTTATGTAAAAAAACAGTCCTAACATTGTTGATAACAGATGCATGTTCAACACAATCCCATGATTTCAGCTTGGTATGCATCATAGGCTACATAAGCTGCAGAAACACTGGAAACCTGGGAGCAGTGAACAGCTGTTTTATCTTAGCAAAGAACTCCACAGTAGTGCTCAGTCGTGTCCCCACTAAAGATGGAACCCAGAACTTTCAAGTTCCGTGACCAGCACATTATTATTGGACCACTTGGTTGGAATCGAATGGTCCATGTTTCCTACTTTAACTGATTTATTAAATTTATCACATAACGGAATAGTATTGTTTACTGGATTACGTTTCGAATACAATTCATTATCCGTAGTCATATGAAGATAACTACACAACTTTGAGACACTTTATATATAGAAAATATCCCACTGTGTGGTAAGTCTAATAAATCAGTGCAAAATTTTCACTCATATTAATATTTCCTACTTTTGTCAGTTCACGATATAGCGCTTTATCGAAAACTAAACTATAACTGATATGATGACCTAGTAGTACTAATTTATTTCAGTAAATGTGTATTCGAAGCATTCTTTTACTAAACTTTGACTGAGTTTGTCATTAGTAGAATAAAAATTGCATATTCAATCCTTCCTAAATCTAGAAGCATTCAATTATCCGCATCACTGGATGTGACAAAATATTTTGCAGTTATAAACAAGTGAAAATTATTTTTAAAAGCTACTTATGAAGACAAAATATCTGTTTACTCTCATCAATTTATCCTTAGGGAGTAGTTTCAAATGTATCAACTCCCCTATACTACTTTACTGGGAGGCTGACAAAAATAAGTCATTGTATATTCGTAATTTGTTTTGTACTTAAGTAGACTGGTTGAAATAAATAACCAACCAAGTAAGATTGCTTCCAGCCTTCTAGTTGATATAACTCGTATTTTTATTGAATATCCTTACAATATTTGGCGCTTTTGAGTACAGTATACATCTCGTGTAAACTGGAAAATATTACTAAGGGCAAAAATAAACGCTTTTCCACTTCAAAGCAAGAAATGGAATTTAACGATTAAGCAACATCGCGTAACTGAGGGAATTAAACAATGTAAAGACTTTTGTTTCTATGTTAAAAATAGAGAAAATTTAGTAGGCTGTAAACTAAAATTCTGTTTTTGGAAGTTAGTTTGTGCATCTGCCCACCGATGATTCCGATATGAAACACAGCACACTATACATGATGTTGCATTGGTAGTTCTTTGGATGAAAACACAAAATAGTTATTCTTGATGAGCAATGATAAACGGGTTTTCTGTATTTATTTTCAACTAGCTCAATTTTACTTATCAAAATTATTAAAGTGATCTTCAGAAATAGCTTCTGAAACGGCATAAATGACTGTTAAATTTGAATAAGCTTTTCTACTGAAACAGGTATCCTGCAGGTAGATGCAAGTGCCTCGGCAAATAAATATACTAAGTGCAGAAGGAAACCATTGGTAAATGGTTACTTATCTTAGGTATAAAATCAGAATAATTTCCTGTACACTGTCTATCCAACGTGAACCTTTCTACTTATTTCATTTCATTCGGTTAGTTAGATATGTCACACAGGGAATGATTAGGTGTTATTTCATTGACTGATGTTAAATTAAGGCGCTAACATAATTGCGAAATTATTTTAACTAAATACTGTTATTACTCCTGTTCAGACCATTATACATCGAAATTTTCTGTATTCTTTCTGTAAATTTGTATTATCAATATGAAACAACTGAAATCAACATCTATCTATTTCTACAGCAGCTATCGATGTTTACTATTTTATTTGTTATCATTAAAAGGCAGATATGACACAACAGGGTCACCTAGAAATGGGTCAAACAAAATCATATAACGGCAATTTAAAGATATAAAGCAAAGAGAAGTGGATGATATAAAAACACACTGAGAATAGAATGATTAAAAGGGCAGTCCAGTAAGATATTCAGAACAAAACATTGATTACTTTTCAACGGTAGGAAATAAAAGATGGCTACAGCATGACCACCAGTGATTTTGACTCCGTGTTATATCTGGTACGTTTTAGGCCACTGAGTTGCGTGATCGCTTGGGCCCCACACAGGGAGTCATGATTCACTAACATATGCTAACCTGATACAACTATTCTCCGTCCCACAGCACTACGACATACAGTGACCATCCCTCCACTTCTTCTACCTAGTCCCAGGGTTAGCAAACAATAAACGGTATGGAAGCCATTGGGACGACATGCGTGACATATGCCAAAGACACCGAAATGGGTGTTTCCAGATGAATTCGCTTATTGAATGATGATTCCCATTATACCTAAACACATCCCGTCTCACTTCAGGATTACTTACATGGTATTGTCACCAGATACAAGAAATCTCACAGAGACAACGATGATCGAACGCAAAGTCGTCTCATATCCTCAGCTCGTAAAGCTTAGGTTTCACAGGAGCACAGAAGAACTGTTCTCACCAAAGCGTTGTATACTGAACCTTTTATAGTCAGAATAACGTCACAACGGCACAAAAGGTAGCTTAGATTGGCGAATGCCACTCTGGCTTACGATATGCGGTTAGGAATTTCATCACATACCAACAGGAGTCACACAACCACCTGGATGTAAGAACATTTTGACTACTTTCAACGACTCACCACAAAAGGTGAGCGCAGTAACAGGTGCCTGATAATCTTGGATTTCGGTGGTAAAAAGCACTTATCCTACTTACGGGCACTAATTGCTAACTGATTAAGTGCGATTTGAGTAGCCTGTGTGTTGTCGCACAGTAAGACGATATAGTATGCATATTCAGGGTCGAAAAGTCATTTTACGGACAGTAGATCTATTTTACCATCACCAATTTTTTAAAGCTGTCTCAAGAATATCATGATGGCAAAATTAAAGAGAAATGGGGAAATCAAGACACCCTACCTAACTCCACTTCTGGTTAACAGAAGGAAACACTTTGGCACCTTTTCATTACAGTCGTAGACGAAATAAAACCTTTAGTCTTCTGTTATTTATTTCGATTTTATACTGACTAAGCACTGGATTCTGAATAATGTAAATGAATCAACGAAACATTTAGTTTATTGTTAATATTTTTACCAGTGACTATTTCTTCGCTTGTTGGGAGCTGTTATCATTCACTCCGTTACAAAAAAGATTTAGTCTGTCCTCTTCATATGGGGAAGTGGTTCAATAAAAGGATGCCATGTAGTTTTGCTTCAATTGTTGATCTCTGTTTATTCCAATTAATGTGTTAAAGTGTACATATTTTGTTCCGAAAGTATGGAATTACATCAAATACATCACATTTTTCAGATAATCTACATCTTCTAATTACATTACGAAACTTGTAAAAATTTAGAACCAAGCATTCATTCATTTTTGCATTTTCTTGATCATGAATGCCTTATCTCTGTCCGATTGAAAGTGAGTGGTAGGATATTTTGATGTAGGAAAAAATTTCACACTAGCGACAATCAGCTTACGGTGTTCATTGCATCTGTTATTCGGTTTCATCCAAAAGATTCTGAGAATAAAAAGATAATTTTGACCTTAGTTTTGATGTGTACTAATGTGCTGTACAATAAAAAATCTTTCAAACTTTCAATTTTATCGTTAGCAATTATGGGAGGAATACAGTGAATTTTTAATTTTTATGCGCTTCTTTGTTTCCTGTAGTTAACAGATACAAATATGGGATTATTTAACCCTAAAACAGGTACGATTATCATTGAGATACACTGGATATATCGACACCAAGTCTATATTGATACCCTTTATCAGACGGATGAAATTGGAGCACGTCAGTATCAGCAAATGAGGTAAATATTGTTCTTCTTATCTACATATTTCTGAATGTCGTAGCAATTATCTGTTCAGTAGGTATTTGTGTCGTAATGTAGATTACTGTTCAGTTGATGACGAAAATAACCAAACATAGCTGTACTATGCTTTGAGTGTCCTGGTTGATGATAAGTAATAGAATATTATGAGTAAATTTCAGTTTGAAACAGTTTTTGAGTTTCCGCTTCCTTTTTAACAGTATCACGAATAGTATATTAACTCCAAAGGTAAAACATGGATTGCGGTGATGGCAGGTAGCCGATCATTCATTATGTTATTCCATACGTACCTAAATGTAAATATCTTTCAGCTCAACTTAAATTACGGGCTGCGAGAGTGAGTAAATTTCTTGATATCTCAGCTAAAACAACTTGCTTAAGTTCCAACTCATTAGGGAAATGGAGATACAACTCCTTTCATAAAAATATGTTTTCAAAGATTCATCATAATAATGAGTACATTATTTCAATCTGAAAATATCGACTATTGAAAAGTGGTAAAAAGTCAGAAAATGGTAAGAAACGAATTATTGATAGCTTAATCGTGTAGCGCAATTCTTATTTATCTTTAAAAGCTGAAATTCTTTAATTAATTCACAACTTCACTACTGGCTTATGTGGCTGCAAAAGACTGAGCAGTATCGTCTGCATAAAAACTGCAAACTCTAGTCTTTTAAATAATAGGGTGAAAATCAAAAAAACTATTCAAAACTGCAAAAATTATGCAGATATTTTACTTTATTCCTTTGTCTCAAGTTTACGTCTCAAACTAATGAATACGTCATAGTTGCGATTTACAATCTGCGTAAGCTTCTAACAACTTGCATTGTAGCATTTATATGGCTTTGAAGTTAGGACAAGACAAAACACGAAAATTTGCGAGTAAAGTGCATTTAAATTACCGCATATTCACTATTTTACATCAACCACTCATAGATTCACTATGTGAACTTCAGTAAAGGATTCTTAGTGAAGTCTAAGTGTTTGTTTTGTGGGTCTTCCGTTCTCATGACATTGAAAAATAGTAGAAATGCGGAGTTATTTTGGCGGATAAACGTCATTCAGGCAATGGTATCAGTAGTTGTGCAGATGTTAAACTTCAATAAATGATTGAATAAACTGAAGAATGAAGTGTGCATTAGTTACGAAAGATGATCTTAGGGCTCTAAGATTAAAAAGACGGACAACATCTGTCGATATAGATCTTTTGAAGCATTACATCTTGAGATAATTGTAGTGACACTGACTACTGCATTTTAGGTCTTTTACTGGCTTTTCATAGGAACATCTACTACAACCAAAAATTTTGTTGGTCCAATGGTTAATGCATCTGTTTGTTTCAGTATTTTTGTCCTTAAAATTTGAGACCACATTGTCTTGAAGATGTTTAACAGTAACGCGAAAATATGGTGAATATATATAGATCATACATTTTCAAAATTAAAATCAGAATAAATAAATGCATTAGGTTAGTAGAATAAAAATACCAAACTAGACATAAAATGTTACACCCTGCTAATTAAGTCAAAGAATGAAAATAAAAGAAACTCTTAAAAGCAGACCAAAAAGTTGGGACTACCTCCATATGATTATGAAGAATAAACTCCTCTCTAAACTTCATCAGCTAACAGTAGTTTTATAATATTATGTATGCAATAAAATGACAATGGGGAAATTATTCTCTACTACTGTTCTTGAATTATACCTTTATAATACTGACATAGATAGTGTTGATTTCATCACTGATTTTGTCTGCTAGGAATAAATAAGAGAGAGAAGTGTGACTGAGTTATTTCATCCTCATCCGTACTAAGACTTCAGCTTTACAAAATTTTTGTTGGCTGTTGATAACTGTAGAAAATTCATATTACATAGGTTGCGAGGTTACCTGGCACCATTTTCAATAGTCTTTTCTTCTTTTTCCAATAATATCACCACAATCTTGGCGTAGTTTACATCATTAGGAAAAACAACCAGTTATTCATCTGCAGTTTACTGGTAAACCTGGACTTACTAATTTATTACACCTTGCTAGCAAAAGTTTGGCGCAAGGGGTTAATTAAACGTAACAATCATGTCCTGATCCACATACCTGTCTTAAATAGGCACTAGATGTTCAAGTTATCGTTCAAAAATTTACCAAGTTATTTTCATTTTTAAAGCACACGTCTGCTAAATGAAAAAATCTGGTAATTTAAATCTATCAGTTATCAGACGGTGAACTGCTTTTAGGCAATTAACACTACATATCTTCTAAACGCCAAAGGATTTCATAGAATGTTCTTGAAAACATAATCAATACGCTTAAGGCCACGTATGAAAGATACCTGGTTTGCTCAGATTTGCTGTTTTCGAGACTCACACAGATGTATTACGATTATAAAAACAAGAAACTTGGAAACTATTTTTCTCCTTGGTTATCACAAGAAGAATTCGCACCATTCTTGAGGACTAAGAAAATCAGAGATTGGGACAAGTTATGTGCAGTCGCATTTGAATTCCATGTGTTTTTAAAATTACGTTGATGTTCAATAATTTATGTAAAACGAACTAGCAACTGCTTTAAGATTTAATGACCACTGAAAAAAATATTACTGAATCACAAAAGCGGTCAAAGTGTATCAGAAACACTGTTAGATAATTGCTTCTGAATAGTTGAGGAAACAGTTGCATAGATGATCCAAACCATCGAAAATAGAACAGGTTAGACGTTCATTCAGGAAATACATATCATACGTCTATGAAGTAAAGAACTTGACCCATTCGCTACAAAATTTCAAAATTATTGAATTACTAGTATGTGATAGTTTTGCTTTATTTGAAAGAAGTAGAAAATGTAGACCATTGGATTCCGACTAAGTAGGTTAGTTTTAACCCGCCTCGTTAAACCTGAAGTTGCTAAGTTTGATCTTTCGTTGGGTAGAGGGTGTGTACAGACATAAAAGATCAACGTAGGACCTTGCTTATAGGTGTATAGGCTCAAGTTGTAAAACACCACAGTAGTAAACAAAGAACAGGCGGATAAAAAAGAGTGAATTCAAAGTAGAAAAATTTGTGTGACCGAGTAAGCCACTTAAAGATAAAGCTTAGTGTGAATATTCAGGCTTATAAAGATGTCAAGGGGTGAATTCATGTGTACCATTGTGGCAGATTTTCGGTCATGTCATCAAGAGTTTTCAGAGACTGACTCCTTTAGTTTCGGGTACCTCAAGCAGGTAGTCTGTATCTCCCACACCACTGAGACCAGCAGTAAGAGACTGAGGCCACATCTTGGTCTGGTCACCCTAAACTCTTCCAACCTAATATGGCCTTCCGTAGTATGGTCCATTGATGTAGACTATAAATTGGTATATGCAACACACCTCCAAGCCATACCATTGATGAAGGTTCACAGCCTCATCAACTGACTTGCCTATCTTGCCTAGTACCCATCCTCTGACCTCAATATTGTTCATGCCGTAATTCCAACAAATGCAAACGATGCAATCAAGACATTTGTGATCAAAACCCTGTAGTCGCTTCATATCTTCTATTTTTAACGGCCATGCTTCACAACCATCTAACAGGATTTGTACGCTTTGGATGAAACTCCTGTCCAGTGCTGCCAGTTTTTCAGCGGTTCTCTTTTTAATGTCTGTCTTTGATGAATACTACTCTAAGAACAATCAATCCCTTACAAGCGTCCGGACTGTGATACACTCACAATCCTTTTTAATTTGCAAATCAATTCATCTGATTCCTCAATAAACTTTAAAAATATAGTGAATGTGAGGTTTTCTCCTGCAAATTAATTTATTGACCTAAAGACTAATATTATAATCCCTAACGTGTGTATGTATACTGTGTTGAGGAAGTAAGTGTAAGTTTGCTTCTTACACTACACAGCATGTTTTTGTTAATCCCTGTCGTCGCTGAAATTGGCTTAATTGTATAAATCAAGCAAATCAGTCTAGCCAAAACTGCTCATAACTGGTGATGTGTTAGGTGTTGAACGGTCAATGGGTTCAGTGACCTGTTTTTCTCCCACGCAATGTAAGACATTATGCTGAAAGATTCAGATCTTTTAAAATGTTTTATTATGAGGACAGTTTAGCTAACAGTATGCATATAACCCCAAAAAAGCTTTCAGGATGTCACTTGTTACATTTTTTCATAAATACTCAACCATCATTGCGTGATACTTATGGTATCACCCATTTTAATTTTAAGTTGTGTTTTTTTATGCAAAGAATATCTTCGAATCTATCTACCATTCTATCGGATTAAAAAACTTAGGTCGACAGTTTTTCTCCTGTATTAAGGATAAATTTTCGGTATATGCGAACTTTCCAAGTCAACTTATCTAGAAATAGTTTATAAAAATATATCATCCAAAAGGCATCTGTGTCTAGTTTCCCCAGGACTTTCCACTTTTTCCAGTATTCATTAGGATAAATTGATGCATTATAAATTCGTTTCATTACTTAGTGAAAGTTAACAGACAAAAATTCAGACGGTTGCATATCATTAGACGGACTCATATCTTTCTCAGTTAATTACGTTGCAAACCTTTTTCCAAATCATTCAATCTATAAGGTATTTAAATAAACACCTTAATGTACACTTGTCATGAGTATAAAATTGAATCCTTTGTCGAATTCTACTATCATCAAAACAACGGAGTATCAGACAATCATTTGTTTGGAGGCACGGTTTCCACTTTTAGAGTAATCTACAGAAGTTTATACTTCCATAATTGTCACTGATAGACAATGAACGCAAATATGTGGAGGCAATGAAAAATGAGTTACCTTGGGATAAAATTGTTTACCTTACTACGGAAACTGCCTATATGTAAGTAATGTACAACAGTTTTTTAACGATCCTATACATTTACCCATCATTTAGAATTGGCAGGAAATAATGTTATAGTGCTTTGAATATCGATAATCGTTCAGTTAAAGAAACAAAATGTTAAACAAAGTTTTCACATTGGTCATTAATGACGTTACTGTTGTCGCTGAAATCTCACAACCATTTCCAAGGTTTAATAACACGTAATTTCACAAAATTCGAAAGATATTTTTGAAAATCAGTTATGCAACAGTTTCATTTACCCTCTACTTTTTATATAAGTTGATGATCCCAACATGTTTTATAAAATTCTAAAGTTGTGATACTGACTCCGTAGTTAAAAATCTGAATTTTTGAATCCATTTCTAGAATGATTCATTCTTGCTTCATTGTTAAACGCATAAAAAGATCACTTATCCAGATTACTTCCTAACCAGTTATTCTTCATTCAAGGTAGATGCTTGTTTTTAGCGAACTTAGTATGTATATTTTGCTTATCTACAGATACTAAGAAACCAGTCTTTTGACCTGTTTGATACACAATCAAAATATGTCTTCGATTATTTTTTTCCTTTCGTTTCATTAAAGCCATTTCCTAAGAAGTTCTATATTCATGCTGTTGCATGCTGTCCCACTTCTTTTGTTGTAGTTATTTGAAAACTATGAACAAAGTAATGAAAAGTGCTGATGGAGGAATAATCTGATTTAACTCAGTTTATTATACTTACTAAGCAATTTTTACCATAATTGCATTGAGATAATGTGGCTTCTAGGCCAATAAACATTTCAGTGACTTTTAACGGCTATTCAAGTTCGCTTTTCATGAAAATCTCTAGTTGATAAATGTTTTTAGACAAAGAACAATCTTCTGCATAAACTGTTTCGTTATTTTGATATCTTATTGCACATCATCTTATTAGTGACCGCTTTGATTTCGTCGATTTTTTCAGATCTGAGCTGATGAGAATCACGAAAGAAAGAGATGAATTAGAACGACAGCTTATGGCATTTCAACTTGGTTTTGTTCAAATCGACTCGCATTCCCTGGGACCCAAAAGTATGCTGCCACTGGAGTCTGTAACTGGAAACGTTGGTCAGCCACGACGTCCTCCTTCAAAGTCAAATGAAGACTGGTATGACTCTAAACGTCATGTCGAAAAAGTAGAAGCACAATTGTTTAGCCACAGAATGGATAATGTTTCTTCGGTTGGCTACATTAGTCGATCTACAAAGCCACATGTTATTTCGTCATCCTCACCATCATATTACACTTCAAGTAGAAGCAACACTAGCAAACCATCTGATTTATCATTGACTTCTCTCTTAGAAGTCAGTAATCGTCGCAGTTCATTTGATTACGAGTTTTCAGATGAACAACTGCCTGGAACTTCAAACTCTATTCACCGACCATGTTCAAGTCAACTACTAAGCTCTAGTACTGGGTAGGTTAGAGAATCGAATAAGCTTCATTTTTTCTACATTTGGTCCAAAACACCACTGCTTTAGTATTATACTTAATTACCACTACTTTTGAAACATAACTGTTCTCACTATAACCGTCATTTCTTTTCCATCATAAAATGAGTATATTTACAATAAATGTAACTAGGAAAAATATTTACATACAATGATATTTTTTTCGAGATTATTTCCAGGAAAAGCATTGCTGATGATCGCTTTAGTCTTTGGAATTAATTACCGTACTCAATGGCAGTAGCTTGGCTGAAAATATTATTAAAACTGAAAAGTTATCATTGTAGATATCAGTTGAAAAATATAATTATAGCATCATTTGACTATCTGAGATAGCTGTAGCCTGACAGACTAGTATTTGTTGTTTATCTGTTGTAACGGGAAGTAAGTAAGATAATGGATCACTTGATTTTATCGCTTACAGCATTGCAACAAATAAGTATTCAACTAATAATTTTTACTTATCTGATGATTACCACTGAGCAGTAAGAAACGCAAAATGCCCCCTTAAAAATGTAGCATGCTTTGTTGAAAAATTTCAACTGAATTTTGCCAAATTAGTTATATCCACACAAAGCTTGAAATTTTCGGAACAGAGTAATTTACTGTAATTATTTATGCTGGATGATGATTGAGGATGGAATTAAAATTTGGACAGCGGCTGGACTCGTATCAGTGACCACTGGGTTTCTGCTTAGGTGCTACGGTGGTCGCTGGCTCGAATCTACCTGCTATCCAAATTTTAATTCCATCCTCAATCATCATCCAGCATAAATAATTACAGTAAATTACTCTGTTCCGAAAATTTCAAGCTTTGTGTGGATATAACTAATTTGGCAAAATTCAGTTGAAATTTTTCAACAAAGCATGCTACATTTTTAAGGGGGCATTTTGCGTTTCTTACTGCTCAGTGGTAATCATCAGATAAATAAAAATTATTAGTTGAATACTTATTTGTTGCAATGCTGTAAGTGATAAAATCAAGTGATCCACTATCTTACTTACTCCTCGTTACAACAAATAAACGTGAAAGAGGTTTTTAGCTAGCATGGGAATCAAACATATGCTACTCTAAATAGGTGACATCTACGTGTTTTAAAAAATTTGTGAAGTCGTCGATAAAATGAGTCTTTTTCAACAAGACTGGTACTAATTAGATATGTCGTTGGATTGATGAACTCAGGTGAAGTTAATTATCAGTAGAAGTAAAGGGAAACAATATAGTAGGTTTTCTGGAAAATAATCTCTTCTCCAACACAAACACTGACAGAAAACTTGCGTAACTACACTGTTTTCTGCAATATGATACATATTTAAAGACCGAGTAACTTCGTTTAATAACTGTTTTGTAATGTGACTAAGACGAAAACTACCAATTAAGTTCCATGGACCTTATGAGTGACCTTCCCTCGGTAAACCGTATTTCTGATTCCAGTAGCAGACAAGGACTTTCAAATTGACAGAGCATACAATAGTTTATATACACAGAAAGCCAACAGATGATAATGCCGACACTATTGAGTATGACAGCGGAAATGGAAAATGAACCAAAACGTTTTTTGCTGGACCCATCAATCTCAGTTAAAAAATGTACTTAGCTTCGTTCATCTTTCGAAAGTATTTTCATGTTTTTTGATGCGGAAACATCTCTTAAACTTCATCTTTATCAGAAGAATGTTTTTTAATTTATGCCACTCTCACTTAAACTGTACTAGTCCATAGAGTTCTAAGTATGACCAGGTCAACAGCAGTAAAATTGTAACTTAAGGGTATTTTGACCGAATCATTTTCTGGACAATAATGTATATATATATCAAAATGGTTTGAAAAGCATTGTGAAGGGTATTCAGTTCTTGACTCCTTTTCTTCACTCAAAAAACCCACTTCCCTTGGTCACATTTGAGAACAGCCTGATCGAATATATTTTATTTGATGACATTTATTATAAGATAGTAATGGTTATTCATTAATTATAATAAACTAATGAATCAATCATTGTAATGGAGACTTTTTCACTTCCAATGGTGTTACAGATTATCAGAAAAGAGGAAACAATTCCTTGGCTCAAAAAGCAACTGGAAGACATGTGAAGCACCTAAATATCGCTCTGATTTCGATTACAGTCAAGTTTGTGGATACAGATATTCAATGCAGAAATCACGCTCGGACAGAGAATCAGGCCAGAATTATATGGTGGGCAATTCGAGCCCATGTTCCATATCAGACTCGTCCACATCACGTGCATTCACTTCACGCAGTGAACATGAATTTTCTTTCGCGTCTAAATGAAAGTAATTTATTTATTTGGTGAAATTACTGTATGTCATGGTGTTGATCAGTACTTATCTGGATTAATCCTTCAGTGACCAATCCGGAAAATTAAAAGTGCAACATATTTTACCCTGAATTCATGATTTACTTTGACTCACCTGAAAATACAAAAGCCTAATTCATCCAAATTAAAGATGAACATTCAGTACAAAATCTATATATATATTAACTGGTTTCCTTATATAACTCACTTATTCCACAAAAACTACTCCGTCTCACTAATTTTCTCGGAAAATGGTAACCAGTGAGGTTTCATTTACAGCACTGGTTAGTATATTCAGCTTAGTGAAGTACTATTTCACATGAATATTTGACTTCTGAACGAGGAACTGTGCTTGCTTTCTTGATAACTGAAAGCCGAATCAATCCAAAAATAAAAGGAATACATTTTGAGCTACAGTGCTATCAGCGATTTGTACTACCTACATTTTGTTGGAAATCATATTCAAGGTTTGCATTTTATTGCTTGTGTAAAAGTAGTTCCTTGTCACCAAGTACACTTAGAAATAAAAATCCTCACGATTTCGACTGGAAAGCCTTTGTAGTATCTCGAAACTATCACGAAATTTAAACTCTTTGTTGAGAAGTAGCTAATGCTTAAATTTGCTTGAGAAGTCGTATTATGTGTAAAATTATATATAAAATACAAACAAATGACAAATATCTACAAAAGAAAAAGTGAGGTCACTTTCTTAGATTTAGCCGATCTGCAACTCCAAAGTTAAGACACTGTCGTATTTTCTTGAAGTTATGGCACTGAGAACGCTGTGAGTCTTAGGTTTGTTAACTATTTATTTCTGTTAAGGCTAGTTACTTTTGGTCTACAAATAAAGACGTGTTCACAGTAAGAAGCAAATACTGTTCTAACTGAGCTTTGTCAGTTGCAAATAGATAAATTGATGTTAATTGTGAATAGTGTACCATTTATACAGTTTCCTTTCCGATCATATCCTCAATACTTGGTTAAAAAGATATATCAGTCGTTTAGTTTAGTGAGTAAACTGGATTTTAGGTAAGGCATAGCCTTTGACTCAAGGCTTTTACAGAAATTATTTTGATCATGTCAAGGAGGTTCAAACAACCTTTGGATTTTCCTAGTACAGCTTGATAATTCACTGATATTGAAACAAGTACATAAACTTCTAGAAATCCTGCAAGTTGGTTGATAAATATGACATAAATGACATTCTAGATCACAATTTTAGTTTCCACCACTATTGATATCTTTTGTGATATCCCACAAAAGCTGACACCAGTTTTCATAATGGAACAACAGCAATTAAGAAAAGAAATAGCTAAATGGGATCAACTTTAAGATAAACCTAGATGTAATAAGCCAGTCTTAATAAATGGAAACTAAAAACTGGGGACAGGTGTTGAGACTTGGAAACAAAGTTTTGTTATAGATAAGAAATTTTGAACCCGTTAACATCATGATTAAGGACAAAGTACACTAGATTGTACCAAATGAATGACGTTTTTTTACTTGGTTAGGAACAAAAACGTATATCATTTTGTTTTGATGTGTTTATTTTCCGTGAAAAATCACTTTACTAGAAATATGTTCAACAGTTAGAATGGAAGACCGTGGAGTAAGTCAAGTAACTGAATCCAAATGGTGAAGCCATCTACGTTTGTAGGACTTGACATCGAAATTATTTCTTTGTTAGTGTGATATCTTATGAAGTACATGTTAGAGACATATACAGAAAATACGAAACATTTGATTGAGAAATGAATGTGTGAATGCAGCTGGCAACAAAACAGATTTTCAGCGAAATGAATTTTTTGTTTGTTTAATCCACAACAGCTTAATATTGGGTCTTTCAAGTATGCAGTGAATGATTTGGCACTCAGTAATCTTTTTGAAATGATAAAGCTGACAGACATCAGTAAAGAAATCAACCGACTGATTGTAAGAACAACAATTTGTTGCATTATGTTATCGATACTAGAATAATTCATTTTAATTCGAATTAACTTGGAGCGCATTCTTTTTCAAGTCATCCAGCAATCAGTTCCACCTTGCCGACATCTTTTTGAGTTTTCATGTAGCAGAATAATTTAGCTCATACCATATTCAACCAGCTGCCATCGGATCACAAACCATGAATGCATTCCCTGCTGAAAACTGAAAATTATTTGGAATTAAGACCTAAAACGAAACGGTCAGTACATTTACTAGGTCTCTAAGTAAAGCGAAGGAGCAACTGACGATCTCTTCAAGCTAAAGTGATGCAATCTAACCAATGGGTACACATAACTAGACTGCACAATCTGTTCAAACTACATCAGCAGAATTTACGATCTACATCTTAGATACAAAAAGTACAATTCACTATGATCTAAAGTGCTCAGTCACTAATTTGGAATTATCAGATTCACATATACCGAGATACTGTATGAATGCTTATTCGAATATAAGAACGGTATTAGTATCAGCATCAAAGACTAAACTGAGATATCTGTCCTTGGATGTAAAACTGTTATTTACCAGTGTCTCTCCGATAGAACCAGTCCATTACATAAATAAGCAGAAAAGTGGAAAAGTATTAGTTGTTGGGATACCAGTGGATATACTCAGTGAATTGCCGCTTCTCTTTACGGTGAACGTTTATTTGAAGTTAGCAGAAAACTGTGCACACAAATAAATATATGAGGTTGTTTTGGCTGGCAATCGGGGGTTATACAATAAGACATTTTCCTAGCTAAGCGGGAAAACGATCATCTAAAACACTTTATGCAATATTTGCGTTTTGCTGTTGACATACATAAAACATGTTTCATTCCTGAGAATAAATAAATCAGCATATATATATTATTCAATTCTACTAGACCTAACTCATGAGCAGTTTCTACAAAATATAGTAACCGTTTTGAATGTTTTTACATCCAGACGAAAAGAGATCAATAAGGAGGAATTTCTGTAAGCAACTTTTATGGACAGAATAAAATGCACTTTTTTGTAGTTCCATTTCCCGTCACTTCACAGAAATTCTTGAAAAAATACTTAATTACAGAGTACGAGAATTATGTCTGGAGGATAAGGTTAGGACAGAATATAAAACCCCATATAACCCCTTATGGAAAATAACGATCAAAGTCAATTCCCGAAGAAGCATCCGAATACAAAAGTAGAAACTAAATGTGTACCTACCGTAAGCTATGAACCAATTTACATACGAATACAATTCAAATAAGGGTCCAAGGACACTCATCCCAAAACTTTGGAAGTAACCATATGGAACTTTTATTACCGGAAGATTTGAGCTTGCGTGTCCGACGTACCTAATTATGATACCGTAAAACTGAAAGAATAACTGTCTACACTGCTTACTTTTTACAGTGTGCATTAATTAAAATGTTTCTCCGGAACCATTCTTTTCTGCTTTTGTTTCAGTTTTCCAATTATGTGTGAACCGGAACATCTCCCAATAAGGATTTGTAAGGTATATTTAAGAACAACAAAGTAGCATTTTAGTGTAGATGGATTATAAAAAAATAACTCAGAAATTTTCGTGTATCCAGCTTTGAACTTTTCTTGTTTTTAGCATTATAATTTTTCTGTTTTACCTTCATACTTTTGTACAGTTTGGCGAATTTGTATTACCTGTAAAATTAGCATAATGCAGAGAAAATGTAAGTCATTGAGCTTATATGTCTTGTTGCGTTTTAAATTACTTCTGCTTATCCAATTCTACATTCAAATACACCATAAAAGTCATGCAGAAAACTCTCTGCTAATTCTATGCTAAAGCATAATGATCAACGGTAAATTGGGTACATCAAAAAACATCGAATAGTACTCGCTGGACAACAGAATGGTTTTTAGGACAGCATAGTCTGGTGGTTGAAATTTCTATTGCTTAAAACAATCAGTTCTGGGTTCTGCTTTCAGTATGAATACAATCACTGACTGAAGGCAAATACATACAGGTGGGGTCCTGCATATTGCTATTAATTGAATGACGTCAGTGTGATAAGAAGAGGTTCATTATCGAGTCGATTAGAGTCCATTTTAAACCTTGAGCGTAATCAATGAGAACTACTCTTATCACCATCATTTATCATCATTTACTTTAAAGAAAATAACTCCAGATAAATAGATTTTGACCATCTAGTCACACTGTTATTTACACCGTTTATTTCAAACTAAATTTCAGTAATACATACTGCTGTTATTGTCTTTCTCACAATTTTTGTTTAAAGATAATTCTCAGACTATTTGACACTAGTGATTTAATGTTGCTGAATTTCTACTGCTTGTCTTGCCAGTGGAAAGTTATGGAGAAAAAGGCTTTTTTCTTGCTCGAAAGTGGATCTAAATGTTTATTTCTCAGTTACTTTTTGCTGAACAATCAATTTAAAGTGTGTTTTAAATTATTATGTGAGTTTTCAAAGAACACGAAGAATAATAAACAATGTAATTTCTGGTAAACTGAAAATCGTGTTCACGATAAATTAACTGAAAACTAGACTGGTATATAAATTCCTAATCAGGTTTTATTAAAACAGATACAAGGAAGTATGTTACTAAGCTATTACCAAAGTCAGATTTATAGTCCCAAGAAGATGTGGGAAATGTTACCATGTAGATAACAACACTATCTTGTGTAAAAGCTTATAGGATCACTGCTATGATTATTATAATGGGGAAAACCTTATAACCTAGCCTGGTTAACCAGTTCACTAGTTACTAGCAGGTCCATAGCCCCGGTAAAGAGGGAAGGTTGGGCGTAGGGTTTCCAACCCTACACCGTAAAACCAATCAAATCGCTAAAGAAATTTCAAAGCAGAAAAACATTTTAAAAAATAAAAACGAACTAATTCCTTTCTGGAATCGGAGAGACGAAATGACACCGGCTGGTGGAAGGCCTCGAGAAGCCAGTCAGCCTATGTGTCTTCTCTCGATGAAAGCAAAAGTAAGAATGGCGAAATGGAATGTCTGCACCATGTATGAACCTAGCTAGCAAGGCTGCCCAGATTGCAAACGAGATGAGGAGGTATAGCATAAAAGTGTTTGGAATCTACGAAAGCAGATGGAATGGAAGTGAACTCTTCAAACTGTCAACTGCAGAGTCAATAATCTACTCCGATAATGTTACCCAGATGACAGCCACCAACACACTGGGTTTTGGAGTGGCTATCGTGGTTTCTCAAAGAACGTCGAAGGCTGTCATGCAGTGGGAACCGGTCTCCTCCAGGATCATGACAGCAAGATTCGACTAAAAAGAAAGGGACGTCACAATCACGAAATGCTACACTATGCATCTACAAATAATGCAGATGAAGAGAAGGAGGAGGAATTCTACACACAACTGCAGTCAGTAATGGATAAGACCAAAACCCAGTTGGCGACATCCACATTCTGATGGGTGACGTGAATGCCAAACTGGGAGCGGACAACACATGAAGAAACCCCTTATGGGTCGAGAAGCATTGGATGAAGTGATGAACAAGAACGGAGAACAGTTTCCAGATTTCTGTTAATTCAGCTACTTGGTGATTGAAGGCGCTGTGTCCAAGCACAAGGACATTCACGAAGCAGCGACATGATTTCATCAGAAATCAGGACACACTTAAAATCAGATCGACTTCATCTCAATATGAAGAGAGTGGAGACGCAGCCTACTTGACACAGGGTCAAGAAGAGGAGCAGATGTAGGCTGAGACCACTCACCATCTAGTGCAAGGAACCCATCTTCCAAATCAAGTTGAAATCCTTCAAAGGAGCTGGTGATAGACCACAGCTCAAGTTCAACACCAAGAACAGAAACTGAACTGAAGGATGAAAATACAAAGGAAATCTTCACGGCAGCCAGCCATCAAGACAAAATGGGAGATATCGAGCAACATCCATGAAGAAATACGTGTGGAAGAACATTGGAAGTCTTTGAAAGCTATGTGGAAAGAAACCTGCATAACCGTATTAGGAAGGAAGAAGAAAGAAGACAAGGAATGAATCTCGACGGACACATGGAAGCTGATAGAGGAGTGGGAGGAGGATGTTGAAGCAGAAGACGAACCGGTGCAAGGATGAACAACGAAAAGAGGAACTAAACCCAACCTATAAAACACTACACTGGACAAAGAAGTGATGAAGAGTGCACGCAAAGACAAAAGACACTTCTACGAAACACTGGCAAGTGAAGCAGAACAGGCTGCAGGTAAGAGAGACCTGACAACATTGTATCAAATAACCAGGTTACTACCTGGCAGGGAAGAGATCAACGCAGAGGAAACCAGTAAGAGATAGTGATGGAATCCTAGTTATCGGTAAAGAAGAGAAACAAAGGAAAAAATAGGCTAACCACCTCAACAAACTCTTGAATCGATTACGTTCACCATCTGAAAGTCGTCAAAAAATACCACCGGCATCTCAGTTACAGAATTATCAGTGGTCACAAGCCCTCCGACAAAAGCGGAAGTCCTGATTGCTATAAAACTGCTGAAATACCGGAAAGCATCAGGGCCAGATAGAAGTCATCAGGAAGCACTGGAGACAGACGCAGAGACATCAGCAGCGGACGTGCTGATATCACTACTGCAAATAGTTTGGAAGGAGGGAAGCAAAGGTACCTGCAGATTGGAAGAAGTGTTGCCTTGTCAAACTACTTAAGAAGGGAGACATAAGCCTTTGCAAGAACTGACGAGGAATCATGCTCCTGTCCCTATCCACCCCAAGCAAGGTATTATGCCGCATTATCCTGGAGAGACTAAAGGATGCTCTGCACTCAACATTACGATGGAAACAGGCTGCCAAGGTGGCTTCAAGAAGAACAAGTGATGTGCAGAACAAATCGCAACGCTACGCATCATTATAGAACAGAGTATAGAATGGCAGTCGACTGGATTTCTACCTCAACTTTATCGACTTTGAAAAAGCTTTTGACAGCGTCAACCAACAAGTAATTTGCCAGGCAGCTGCTTGAACACTACAGAGTGCCACGAACCTTTATCAACCTCATTCAACAGCAGCTATATGATATGTGATGCTACATGCTAAGCGATCCCCAGTGGAAAGCTCAGTGGCGCCTGTGAATTGAAGACAGGAGTAAAACAAAGCTGCCTACTATTACCAATGATTTTCTTGACTGTGGTCGACTAGATCATGCAACAAACCATTAGGAGCAAGAAGATGGTGATACGCTGGCTGGACGGATAAAAGAAGAAGATCTGGATTCCATCGATGATGATTTACGTCTAATGTCGCATAAACTCGAAGGTCTACTGGCGAAAACTAACAAGTTGACAGGAGAGGTGAGGCAGCGAAAAAAGGACTTCAAGTGAACATACAGAAGACAGAGGTGATGAAGATACCCAACCAACGCCAGCAACAATAACAACAAGCTCCAATCACCATCAGCGGGAGAAACCTAAAGGAAGTAGCCTCTTTCACCTATCTAGGCAGCATCGTTTCAATTACAGGCGGCACAGATGAAGATGTAAAAGACAGGATCGGAAAAACAGCAAGACAGGATTTCTTCAGTCTGAAACCAGTATGGAGATCCACTGCACTCAGCACGAAGAACAAGATTCGGTTTTTTAACACCAGTGTCAAGTCAGTGCTGCTATATGTTTCAGAAACTTGGCGCGTTACGAAAAGCCCTTTCAACAAACTACAGACATTCATCAACAGCTGCAGCCTACGGTCACACGATTCTGAAGATCAAATGGCCAGAATAAAAAGAATGAGCAACAAGGAACTCTGGCAACAAACCAACTAAGAACTTATCACCGAAAAAATATGCAGAATAAAGTGGATTGGATTGGGCATACACTGAGAAGAACGATTGGGGACATCACGTGGCAGGCCAGACAGTCGAGTGGAATCCAAAGCTGAACGACGAGTTGGGTATCTTAGGCGAGGGTGACATGGAGATCATGTGAGGAAGAAATGAAAGCCTCTGAGAAGTTGTGCAGCAAGGTTCAAAAGACTGAAGAGAAGAGAGTACGATGGAGGTGTGCTACTGAAGCCCTGTGTTCCACTAGGAACCCAAGGGAAAAAAATAATCAAAAGCACAGCTTCAACAATACAAATTGCATCTGAAGGTTTTTATTAATTTTATTCCACGTAGGCATGAATGATCAGTTTATGATCCAGACATATTCTCTAAATTCTACCTGATAGGCCTTATTGCGAAAACTTTTAACCATTGTGAAATTGGTCCTTTTTTTAATAGGGTTTTCTTGACTTCTTCAAAATATGCGTATTAATACTTCATGTACCAGTGAGAAAAATACACTTGAATAGTAAGTAACTAAAAGTGACTTCTTTATTTCATAGATTTTCGGTTCCATATATGCAAAATGTTTTTGTAATGTGGTCAGAACGACTGACAGAAAACACAAGTACAGCAGTTAACTCTTTCATAGTCTTTAAACTACACATCATTTAGCAAACAAGATTAAAACAGTAACAGTAAAGTGAAATGTTCATCATATGATTAAAATACAAATTGTATCTATACTTCTGAAAGTCACTTATTACATTCTTCTGCAAATAAATGTGATACGTGTGCACTGTGGTAGGATTTATATATATTTTCATATATATGACTTCCAGAGATGCAGTATTATTTACTCGATGACGTTTCGAGCATAAATTACTGCTCATAATCAAATCAATGTAATCACACTACTTTCGATATCTG